TAATGGTATCTTTTGTGGAGTTTAATGCTTTATAGAGGAGACTAATGAGCCAATACATTACACTCTCATGTCATATGAGCATGTAACTTCTAGGAGTATACCTAATATGCATGCCATTTGAGCTAATACCCAATTAACCTCTGACTTTGAGGTCTGTATTCAATTATGCATGATATACTTAAACCAAGCTTAGCACAACAGTGTTCTGATCCTATGCTGTTCTAAATGTTCATGCTTTTTTCTATCGAAGTACTTGTGTTCAACATCCATGTTTGATCCATATCCAGACACAAGTATAAACTATAAAGACATAACCCTGCATGATTCCTTCGCATTCGATATTTTCGTTGGTTCCATGAGTATATGGTGAACTGAAATGATCCCTTGTCGATTATGTACCAGTGAAATCTTAATCTTTAGGTATGTGGAAATTTTATCAGAAACCTAGAAAATGGCTAAGGTAGCCAACAATTGTTGATTTGTGAGATCATTTGACTATTATCACATGGTTAAGGAGATCCCAAGTCACCCATATCCAATCTTCACAGCCAACTTGCTTCTTTTATTCTTGTTTCTCGAAGCAGTTGAGAAGGGATCTGATTGTATACATTGTATGTGAATTGTCTTCGAGTTTTGATTAGAATTTTACTTGTTTTTGTAACACTTCCAAAAAAAATCAATAATTGGTGGCCTATGAAATTTGGATTTTATGTTATATTAAAAGCCTACCCTTTTAGTCAAATATATTTTTTATTTAACTTTTTAATACGGTCCATCAGTGACAGCATGTAAACATTGGGACCAGATTCACACTGTAAAGTGTAAAGTCAATAAATAAATAAATAAATGCAAATTAGGGATTGGACGCCATCATATGAAATAGTAAAGCCTACCTGCTTATATGAGAGAGGATAAAAAAACTTTAGGTAAATTATAGGTTTAATCATTTTTATTTCGATTTTATTCACTTTAACCATTGAAATTGAAAATATTATAATTTCATCATTTATATTATCGATTTATTACAATTTAATCATTAATCATTAACTTTCAAGGTAATTGTATTATCATGTTTAGTAAATATTCTTTTATAAAAAGGACATTCAATCTTTTAAATAATGTTATGTCAAACTTACGTGATTTGGGTAGTGAAAGTTAGCGATCAAATTTTTAATTTCAATCATCAAAACAAATAAAATAAAAATGATCAAACCTGTAATTTCTCAATCTTTCATGTTTGATAAGTATATTTTATATCTAGTGGTCAAACCATTGAAGGTATCGTGTCTTTCCCCACTCGATCTAAAGGCTAATATGTTTATCAAAGAATGGGGCATTAGCAAGTGGGAGGTACCAATAATCGAATGGATAAGATACAAACTCTGATTTGTCAACTTCCAACCCTGTAGAAATGATAAAGAGATGAAGAAGGGTTATAGTATTAATTAGAGACGGATGTAATATTTTATGTTAAGGAAGTGAACTTATAATTTTTTTTTAAAAAAACGAACTTATAAAATTAAAAAAAAAACGAACTTATAAATTTTTTTAATATGAAAATAAATTATCAATAGAAAATATAAAAGAATTAGAAACTTTTAGGAGAAGGAGATTGCCTTCGCCTATTCTATCTTTTCGGTCTATCCCTAATATTTGTCGAATGATGATATAAACTTGACACCCCAAGTAAAATTTTTAGTTTCGTCCCTATATTGAAAGATATGTTTTACTTTAAATTTAAGTTAATATTTAATGCTTAAGCCTAACAATTAGGCTTTGATAAAAAAGACCTAAATCATTTTGAAAACCCAGTTAATCGACCTAAATAATTTATAGGTCGAGATAAAATTATAAACATTAGAGGGGCTAAAAGGTAAAAATTTAATTTATAAGATTTTTAATTATATAATTACTTTTAAGAGGGTTTAAATATATAATTTTTCATTTAACTAAAGGGTTAAAAGGTTTAGATTAAACTTTCAATATTTAATAGCGATTAAAATTAAAGCAACCCATTTAACTAAGGGGCCAAAGCACATGTTAAAGGTTAGCTGTCTTGGTTTGTTTAAACTAACATTTTTTAAAAATTAGGATAAAAATATGAAATTAAAAAAATCATAATTTAAAATTTAATATTCCGTACTTAATTTAAGTAATATAAAACGCAGATGACCCTACTTGTTTATTATAATAATACAACTAAAAAAATGAAGTACATGGATCTACTACTATAATACTATTAGGAAAGTGGACTGGTAGCTGGAAACAGTAGTAGTGGTAGTAATATTATTGTTAGAGTAAATTACATCAGAAATTATTTAATTATGAAATTTATTGAGCGATTTCAATGGTTAAAAAAATTATATTTTATAGAGATCATGTGTTCGAGCAATTGTTTTTTGTCGGGTGTATATGTGTTATCCACTAAAAATAATCTAAACAATACTATCATAAAACAATAAGTTGAATAACTCTATTCCGTTATAAAATAAAAAGTTTAAATTGTTAATAAATCAGAAAAGTAATGTAATATTTGAATAACTCTATTCTAAAATAATGAATTTTTTAAATATGAAAATTAAATTTATTGTTTAGTTTTGCATTGAAATTAAATTGATAAAATATATAAAGATTAAAGATTAAAATTGTTATTATACCAATTCATGTAACTACTCTATTTATTAATTAATGGCAAAGTAGTTTATTTGTGATAACATTTTATTTGAGTAATCTATTTATATATATATATATATATATATATATATATATATATACAAAAAAAAGGTATACTAAAATAAATAAAAGTTAGGAAGGAATGTTAAAAAAAATTAATGACTAAAATAACTATAGTGAAAAGATTGGAGCGTTAAAATGTCATTAGGCCTGCACTTTCAGCCTTATCATACCTACAAGTACCAACCTTTCCAACATTCTCCACTTGCATCCTTGTGAAAATGGAAAAATCCTTTTGAATAAAGCAAGATATTTGTGAAACTACTTGTACCCAACTGCATTTGTGTTCCTCAGTTTCTGCTATTTTTCTCCTTTTTCACATTCACATTATGTGTGTGTACCTGCTTTGATGGCAACTCACAAGTATCCCAAAGTATGAATCTTTTTAATGTTCTTTTCAAAGATCCCTGACCCACCATTGCAACACTCCTAGTTTCTTGCTTTCTTGTTTGATATCTTTTTGTTAATATGCGTGTGTTAGCTTAGCAAGAGCATCATGGGGGAGATATCTGAAATGGAAGCTATGGAGCTGGACAAGGTTGAAGAAGAATGTTGCCCTGTAAAACAAGTTGAAATCACGGTTCCAAAACCGATGACCCGACTTTGCCTGCCGTCACATTCCGGATGTGGGTTCTCGGTCTCGGTTCCTGTGTTGTTCTCTCGTTTGTCAACCAGTTCTTTTGGTACAGGACGATGCCCTTGTCGATTACTTCTATCTCTGCCATGATTGCCATCGTGCCCCTCGGCCATTTGATGGCGAAATCGCTGCCTCGTCGCCTGTTCTTCGAGAACACACGATGGGAGTTCACGATGAACCCTGGTCCATTCAATATAAAGGAGCATGTTTTGATTACTATCTTTGCCAATTCTGGAGCTGGAACTGTTTATGCCACTCATATTTTGAGTGCTGTTAAGCTCTACTATAAGAGGAATCTAACATTTATCCCTGCCCTCCTCGTTATGATGACAACCCAGGTTTTTTTTCTTCTTTTTTCCTCTTAATTCTTGCTCCTTCAATCTTCTGATGGTGAACATTGTATATAATCAATATGATGAAGTTGTTCTTGTTGTTTGATTATAGGTTTTGGGGTTCGGTTGGGCCGAGATTTTCAGGAAATATCTGGTTGAGCCAGGGGAAATGTGGTGGCCAAGTAACCTGGTCATGGTCTCCTTGTTCAGGTATTCATTTTCATGCACTATTGCATCCCTCTGCTGTTGATCGTATATCGATCCTTATCGAAACAACTGTTATTATTACCACAGGGCTTTGCACGAGAAAGAGAAGCGGCCGAAAGGTGGAACAACTCTGAATCAATTCTTTCTGCTGGTCTTGATATGCAGCTTTGCCTACTATGTTCTCCCTGGATATCTTTTCAGTACATTGACATCATTCTCCTGGGTTTGCTGGTTGGCTCCCAAGTCGGTTTTAGTCTAACAACTCGGCTCGGGCTTGAAAGGACTTGGTATTGGTTCGTTTGGCCTCGACTGGGCGACAATTTCCTCATACCTAGGGAGTCCACTCGCTAGTCCATGGTTTGCTACTGCCAATATCGCGGTCGGTTTCTTCCTTGTGATGTACGTCATGACACCACTCTCGTATGGTTTGATGTCTACGAAGCCAAAAACTTTCCCATTTATTCTAGTAAACTTTTCAAGTCAAACGGTGAATTGTACGACATATTGAGCATCGTCGATCCCATGTTTCATCTAGACAAGGAGGCTTACGGGCGAAACGGCCGAGTACATCTCAGCACTTTCTTTGCTATGACCTACGGCATCGGTTTTGCTACCCTAACTGCAACAATTTTCCACGTCCTACTGTTTGATGGAAGGTAAGCCCTACTAACAAAGTAATATGACCTCAAAAGTAATGCATATTCTCTCATTTTTCCTTGCTATATGCAGAAACCTATGGCAACAGACCAAAAGTGCATTTCTAGGTAATAAGAAGATAGACATTCACACAAAGCTTATGAAGAAGTACAAACTTGTTCCCACGTGGTGGTTTGTCGCAATCCTCGTGTTGAATCTTGCCCTTATACTATTCATTTGCGAATACTATAACGAAACGCTCCAGTTGCCCTGGTGGGGTGTATTATTAGCTTGTGCCATTGCTTTCTTCTTCACCCTTCCTATTGGTATCATTGCTGCTACAACAAATCAGGTAAAGGAAAACTATTTATCTGCGTTGAGACTTGATTTCCATGGCTTCTAATCGATTTTTCGGGGTTTGTTTTTGCTTCTGTAGGCTCCGGGTTTGAACATTATTACTGAATAAGTGATTGGATATATGTACCCTGAGCACCCTGTTGCTAATATGTGCTTCAAGGTGTATGGATACATAAGCATGGCTCAAGCTCTAACCTTTGTTTCGGACTTCAAACTCGGCCATTACATGAAGATTCCTCCTCGGTCGATGTTCACAGCACAGGTCAGTTCTCTGTCTGCAATCCTGAAAATCACAGTTCTCTCGTAAAGGGTCGAATGTAAACCTATATCGATTGATATCTAATGAGTCGCATTTGCAAGTGGTAGGAACAATTGTTGCGGTCTTTGTGTACACCATAACTGCATGGTGGCTTATGGAAGAGATTCCCAATCTTTGTGATACCTCCTTGTTGCCACCTGACAGTCCATGGACTTGTCCGATGGACAATGTGTTCTTCGATGCATCCGTTATATGGGGGCTAGTTGGACCCCGCAGAATATTCGGAACGGAAGGTGAGTATGGGAACGTCAATTGGTTCTTTCTCGAGGGAGCACTAGCTCCTCTCCTAGTATGTCTGGCACACAAAGCATTTCCAGACAAAGAATGGATTCGCCTCATCCACATGCCGGTCCTCTTGGGTGCAACGTCTATGATGTGTAACACCCTCAACCTAAATCCGACCCGGATCCGAGTCTGATGTGTCACATTGACTTTTTAAAACATTTACTTATATAAAATAGTGAGTAATTTAAAAACTTTTATAACATATAACTTATTCAAAACGTTTACAGAACTATTCAGAGCTTATACACTATATTAATTCAAATCTTTTAAATACATGACAACTAGACTTTTATACTATAAAATACATATTATTCATTTTTCCTCTGATCTCACATTCTGTAAGGAGAACTGACATGTCTTGCTCCACATAACTCTTACTCAACTTCTCGCTTCTGCAACCTACGTGTGAAACAATCACACGCTAAGTCGTTGACTTAGTGAGGCAAATAAACATATAATGATTACATACATCTCATGATGTCATACCAAAACAATTTAACATTACATACAATGCAATATACACATATACATATCTCACATTATTTCCATTACTAACCTTATTCCACTATCCATATTCTTATCATTTATGAATCATAATCATATACTCATACATTCATTCTTTTAAGCTACAGATGATTCAATTAATCAAGCAATATACACATCATCGCATATATCATATAATACAATTCATATACATATATCACATACATTGATTTCACAATTATCTCTTATTTAGCCCATGTACACATGTGAGAACTGTAGATATGTGAGTCTATTGAGGTTGTGCACTATGCTGTCACCACATCTCGTATGGGGTCCCACAAGGGGCTATGAATTTGTCCCGAAGGACCACTATGAAATGTCCTGAAGGACCATTGTATGTCCCGAAGGACCTATGAACCCTCGACTCTTGGCATGCCAACTATACCTCCAGCTCTTCTTACACTTACATGGGCATTCTCTTTTATATCATTTCACATAGTCTTATTCATATGCTCATAGCTTTTATCATATCCATTTCCCATATACACTTTCATATCACATGTCATATAAGCTTTTAGCTTCTTTTCATATTCTCACATTCTCATATCCTTCTCATGCAATCACATAATTCATATACATACATCACATAGCATATATCATCATTTTATGTTTTTATCATACTCCTATGGTATTATCCTTTATCTCTCTTATTTCTGGTTCATATGATCTCTTACATTCATACTAAAACACACCAATACATATAGTCTCGTAAATCACTTTTGCATAACTTATATCTTACTCTTATGTCTTCTCATATACATATATTCTCATATACATATCATTTCATTATCCTTATTATCACCATTAATCTCTTTTACTTACCATATTCATATCAATAACACATATACTCATGCACACATATAAACCATAACAAACACATACCTCTATGAATTCATGCATTTTACTATTGGAAATAGTATCATAAGTCTTATTTTCCATTGAACATCATATACTAAATAATGTGCACTCACCTTGTCCTCACTAAGTTCCTATCCACTTTTGATTTCCTTTCTTTCGATCGAATCAAGAACTTGATAATCACTCCGGAACTTGTTCGTGCTCGATATCAATATAATCATACATTGATACTTATTAGTTTCCAATTAATATACTCTAATCTATCATTTCTTAGACCAAAAGAAAGGTTTGTTTCTATTTCCCTTGAAGTGCATCGATGCATTCAACAGTGCATCGATGCATTCTTTAACATGTGCATCAATGCACTACCCATGCATCGATACACAAATCACCTTCGATATTTTCATTTTAAGGGGATGCATCGATGCACCAATTGCATTCGATGTTTCTATTATTAAGAAGTACATCGATGCACTACTTGTGCATCGGTACACATTCAACAATTTCTGGGATTTAACCTTGATGCATCGATGTGCACTGATGCACTCTGCCCAGAATTCTTTTTTATGCCCAAAAATTCACTCTTTTCAGCTTAATACTTCTATTTTAAGCCCCTACCATGTCATTAAACTCAATTACCACTACTTAAACCAACTTATATCCATATAAACCATCTTTATCTTCCATATCTCATCATGATTCTTAAAATTTAAGAATCTTGCTAAACTTTCAACTTTGTTATTAATCATTTCTAACTTCATATATCTCTTATTCTTAGTGATGACAAGTCAAATTCCTTCTCAAATTTCACTTATTAACTCCTTTCCAGAAATTCATCTAAAAACCCATTTTCTTTAATCTCTTCTATACCTTTCATCTTGTTGTTTTAGAACAAATTAAGCTTTCCTTAAGCTTAATTATCATCTAATGATCATAACCCAACTTTAAAATCAATAATTAATCAACAAACAAAGAAACTCACCTTTGGCTCTTGGCTTCCACGTGAAGAAGAAGAAAGGAAAAACAGAGCATATTATGGAGAAATCTCTCTTTTTCCACGTGGTTCCCTTATCTTATAAAGGAAAGATAAAAATCTTCCTTGTCAAATGACCTTTTTGCCCTTCAATTCATCTTATAATTACTAACAACTTTTATGATTTATTACCAAATTAATCATTAAACTAATCCATGGTTCTACTCTAGTCACCAAATTCTGAAACTTTACAATTTGATCACTAACCCGGTATTAAGGATGTTACAAATCTCCCATCCTTTAAAGAAAATTTGTCCTCGAATTTTCACTGAACATATCAATAAGAACATATCTTCTAATGTTCTCATGTTCCTCTACTTAATCTTTTAATCCTTCAACTACATTTTTCCCTTATGTATTCATCTACTGTCATTTATCATATAAACATTAACTAGTAACTTTAATTCATTTATGTCTTTTCTCTCATTCCTTTATGCATTTTCCTTTGACCATTTCTGAAATTTCATATAATGTCACTAATCACGTAGACAGTAACATCCATTTTCATCACTCAACATCAAAAATCCATCTCTAACTACCTTATAATAACCAAATTCATTTTCCATCATCATTTAACCAAGAATACAACCTTAAATCTTCTTTAAATACGATTCAACATACACTTTAAAGAATCTTTTCACATCACCTTGCACACTTGTCTTACTTCTATATCAAAATTGTCATCTATACTTCCATATAACCTTTATCATATCTGATCCTTTAATTCAATCCCTTTCATTTCTTTATTCCTTATTCCTTATATATAAATCATATCTTTCCTTTTATATTCACATACTCTTGTCTTATCACCTATACTCATCTCTATGTACCAATCTTCATTGCATCCTCATTACTCTGATAACCCATTTCTTATACAGAACTTCATTCTCTATCATTTATTATACTTGTATTTTCCTTCATTAAGGTTTCATGCAAATACTTATCTCCGTTTCTACATCATATCTATCTGATCAGAATACACAACTATATTCAAATTCACATCATAATCAATTAACTCAACTTTATTTTTTCCTCCAATCTTATAACTCTATCACCTTTTGTAACACCCCAACCCGTACCCGACCCGGATATGAGTCAGAGATATTACATTGACTTTTAAAACACAACTCTTAACAAATAATAGCAAAATATTTGAACTTATATTAAGAAAATACGATAATATACATATTGTAATATAAGTTTACCAAAATATTCAGAGCATACACAACTTAACCCTTTAATTACATGCCAACTGCCATTTACATAACAAAATGACCTACTGATTAAGTTGCTTCTGATCTGGTGGTTGCAGGAGTAATGTTGTCCAGCTATTTAACATGTCCCGTTTACTTTCTTGGATCCTACGTGTGAAACACTCACACGCTAAGTCATCGACTTAGTAAGGCAATGTAATAATAATAACGAGGAAATGTAATAAAAATGTCATAATGATATGAAATGAGATGAAAGCATGTACTTAATCAATGTAGTTTACATCACCAATATACATACATGTAAGCATATCACTTTAACATTCATGAATTTGTATTAATAAGTTTATTGGCCCATGATATCATATTGAGAACCTAAGGTATGTGAGTATTGTGAGGTTGTGCACTATGCTGTCACCACAGCTCGTATAATTGCACCGAAGTGCCACGTAGAATTGCACCGTAGTGCCATATAATAATGTCCATAAGGACCACATATCATTCCTTAAGAATCATATACATATACTAGGGATCAAGTATGTGTCTTACAAGACTTCACACATGTTCCACAGAATATATATATATCCCGAAGGACCGCATAGAATTGCACCGTAGTGCCATATAATAATGTCCATAAGGACCACATATCATTCCTTAAGAATCATATACATATACTAGGGATCAAGTATGTGTCTTACAAGACTTCACACATGTTCCACAGAATATATATATCCCGAAGGACCGCGTAGACCCTCTACCCTTGGCATGCCAACTATACCTATAGTTCTCATCTACATAACATGGGCTTTCACACTTCACATAATTTGTATCACGTAGATATAGTACTTTCATACCTTTATCACATAGGCATATCATTTCCTGCATATTCATGTCATGTAATGCATATGGTATAAACTTATATCATGTTTCATAATATGGAATGTAATCATGTATTAAAATATTGAATCTAGACTTATCATAAGTCTAGAACTGATTATAATACTATATTCATGCTATGCATATGCACTCACCTATATTTCCTTGCTTTTTCCTCGATCAATCCTACTTGTCGATTGTTCCAGAACTCGTTTAGGCTCGATATCTACATAGCAATTCATTGATACTTATCAGTATACTAATTAGTATATTCTAAACTATCATTTCTTAGGCTAAAAGAAAAGCCATTTTCAACTTTTAATAGAGGCATGCATCGATGCACTCCTGATGCATCGATGCACTGAGGGCATTCGATGTTCATTTTATTAGAAATGCATCGATGCACCGACGATATTCGATGTTTGTATTTAAATTAATGCATCGATGCACTTCATATGCATCGATGCACCTTCAACAAATTTGTGGGATTTATCATTGATGCATCGGTGCATAATGAATGTGCCCAGAAATGTCATTTAAGCACGAAAATCTCTTCTTACTCTACTTGA